AGAGAGAGAGAGAGAGAGAGAGAGAGAGAGAGAGAGAGAGAGAGAGAGAGAGAGAGAGAGAGAGAGACCAAAGGGCCCCCTTTACTCGAATGGCTCCTACAATGTATGTGGACATTGTGGAGTCACTGAGGACCGATGCTTCAACGAGCAGGATGGCCGCGTCATATTTGGAAGAGGTGGGAGCAGACCACCAATATATGCTGTGGGGTTCGAGTTCAGGTCTGTAGCTCGACAGTTATGGGTCACCAATTCAACTAGACCCTGTTTGTGTCCCCACGTGATTCTCAGGCCTCGCTCCACCACTCACCAAATGTATAACATTAGAATGAATGGTGACGCTCCCCACCAATAGATGGAGCCTCACCCCAGGTGTTAGTGGTGTCTGCTCTTATCAGCAGCACTAACACTGGTGGGGGTGTTTCTAGGAAAAAAAATAATAATAATAAAAAGAAAAGAATGAATCTTCTGCTAAAACATGGAACCATACAGAGCCATCTGTTATGTCTTTTGTGCACCTGGTGACTACCGTCTTCCCCCAAACGTAACGCACCCTAAAAATGAGTGTATACAAGCTGTATTTCCGGCCAGATACAGCCAAAATGAGGGTGCGTTGTGTTCGGGGGAAGACGGTAGTGAATGAAGGCCCCTTGGGCCACTGTACGCATTCATAAGGAAAAAAAAAAAAAGACCCATAACTGCCGACATGCAGACCTGAATGCGAGTCTTCAGCATATATTGATTGTCGGTTGGGCTTGCCAAACATATCTTATTATCTCGTGACTTCTGCGAAGCACTGTGGGGCAGGTCGCTATTGGGCAATTACACCCTTCTCGCGAGTTTTTCCACCACTGTGTGGGATTTGCAGAAGGGATGGGGAAGGACAGTTTCCACACCCCGCCTAAAAAAAAAAAAACTGGAACGAGCCCTATTTTCATGATCTGCCATTCCGAACTTTTTGGGGAAGGGGCCTGTGGAATTCGAAATTTGGCAGCCCTTGCCCAAATTTTTGTTTTCAGACCCGGGGCACGGCCGGTTTCCGAACTCGCGCGGCAAGTTCAACATTTCTGCCAGGGCGGGGGTCCCTAAGAAATTACGAAACCCCTACTTTCTTTTTTTTCCCGGACCTTGGTTTTTCCGGTGTGTTGCGCGTGGTGCGCAACGCGTGCGCAAATCAAAAGGATGCGAACTCTGAAGCAGAGCTGGCAAACTCCTACTTCTATAGCCACACCCGATCCATATTGAACATCCATAATATTTGGCAGCCACAGCCAGCCATTACTGCAGTTTAAAAATCCTCACAACCTGGCCCAGCCGCAGCTGGGCCCAATTTGAGTGTACAAACCGGGC